ATCCAGCAATACTTCCGTACCCTCTGTCCTTGATCTTGAATCGTGCACTTCCCTGGGCCTATCTTCTGAGACCTCTCTGTATATGGATTGCTCATTGGGAGTGCTTTGTCAGTCCTAGTTTGTTTTTTTTTTTTTTTTAAATTCAGTCCGGTTCCTATTCCACCGGCAAGTCGAAAAATAATACATCATGGCGAAACAACTCACGCTTCCTCCCGTCCGGCCGGAGGACCCCTGAACAGCATTGATTGCTCCACCCTAGGCGGAGGATTGACTGTCAGCTTGCCAAGAAGAACTCTACCCTCTCAAACCTGCCCATGCAGGTCTGCCAGAAATAACAATCTCACCTAGAAAGAGTACCTCTCTTACTGCTGTTTAAGCACACTGTCCGCTACATCCCTCCCCCCCWAAAATGCTATGTACCCCCTGACACAGCAATACCTCGTGTTTCTTTTGCGTACGAGAAGCAGCCTTGTGTGGCTCGGGCCGGCAGGATTCCATTGATTCCCTTTCTTCACGTCRTCYGTGTTTCTTCAGTTAATACTTGCTGTCGACTTGTCCTGTCCGGATCTGAATTATGCCACTCCTTCCAACTCACCCTGTCGCCACGGAGTTCAGCCACCTTGCCGTTCAGTAACCAGTTCCKGATAAACTTTGACCTGACTTCCGSCYGTTGATCCTCATCTTCCGGCCATGACAATTTGATTTTCCGCCATCTGCACAGTATCTCTGCTTGGATCATTAGCCTGGACTCCTTCCATACCTTGTCCCGTGGATTTGAACGCCCCTCAATTGTTCTGCTGCACCTTTCTTTCCAGATTACCCACAGGGTCACCTTTCTGATAAGATCAAACCAAATCTTCTCCGCTTGCCGGCTCATAGTGGGGATGTTAGTAAGGAGAAGAAGTTGGATAGGCTGGTCTGGGAAGGGAGATGATAAAAGGGAGTCCCACAGAGAGGATGCTCTAGACCAGTATTCTTTTGCCTCCGCACAATGCACCAGACAGTGCTCTATGTCCTCTACTACTCCTGTTGAGCAGACTGTGCAGAGCTCCGAGCTGTTCGGGTTCGAGGCTCTGCGTCTGGTGTGCAGCCACTGGTTGACCGGTAGAGCAGCGTATGCAATCAGCCACTGCAGACTCCTGATTTTCACTGGTCTGATTCGTGCATATTTTTTCCAGGGGAGCTGTCCTATTTTGTTGGCCTCTTGTCCCACGAGTTTTTGCCATCTACTCAGGATGTTGGCCTCTTGTCCCACGAGTTTTTGCCATCTACTCAGGATGACGGGGTCTGGATCTTTAGTTTTCAAAAGCAGGTTATAACCCAGTTTTACTGTATAATCCTGTAAGGGGACTTTTGCCTTGATGTTGCRYGAGGTATTGGGTTTCCACCCCCATTCGGCTGGGTCAAATTCCAGGGCTCTGATTGGAGTATCGGGGCGAAAGATCAGCTTTGGCCATGTCCCTAGGACTCTAATTTTTCTGAAGAGGAACAGGTCATGTGTTACCACTTCTATATCCTTGTTTAGGATTTCTGGCATGTCCGTGGTGGATAAGGAGATTGGGAAGGAGCAGAAGGAGGCTTTGGTTGTAGATCCCTGTAGCGTATGAGAGAATTGGTAGGCTCTGGTCGGGACTATCTCCTGGATCATCAGTCCCCATTCCCCCTGGTTCCAGGTCTTATCTGTGGACAAAAACTTCTTCCATTCCTGTGGCACTCTACTGAGAATGTACTGTAGGTTCTGACCCCTGTTGTGACAACCTTTCAGTTGGAGGCGAATATCGCGCTCTGATACCCATTCTTTCCTGTCCTCATTCCATAGGTGTTCTATCTTCCATATGCCGTTCCTAATCCAAGATAGCCATTTTGGCTCAAGGTACAGCGGGTTATTGGCCTCGTTCGTGAGCCATTCATTGCCAAAGATCGGTTGTCTCAGCACTTCGTCCCTGGATGTAGGTCTGTTCGTTTTGGATGGGCATACTTTTCTCCACACCCGCAGCAGAGCCGACCAATAGGGTGTGGGAGGGCGTGGATCATTGGCCGCTGTGCAGTTCCTGCGTCCGGTGGTTATTCTCCACTCTTTGTTCATTACCCAGTAGAGTCCTGACATATCACGTGGGGAGGCCGTTGGGGCAATCGCTCTAATGCTGTCCAAGGCTAGCCCATTCCAGGCAGTGCGAGGGTTCATTAGTAATTTAATAATCCACTTAATTTGCAGCGCTTCAGTTTTCGTAGCAGGGTTGATTAGGCCTAGGCCTCCCCTTCGAGGATTCCTTGTGATGAAATGCCATGCTATCTTTGGTATACATGATTCCTTATTTGGATTCCCTGTCCAGAGGTACAGTCTGGCTCTGCTATTCAGCTCCTTAATAGTGCTGTCAGGGATCGTCCATATGGATGCTATATACCACGACATCGAGAAGATTGAAGTATTGATAGCCAAAGCCCGACCAAACAGGGAGGCGAAGGCATTTTCCCACCTGCCGATTTTGTTGATCTGCTTAGAAAGTTGGGACGGTCCCATTTGGGCTGCCAGCCCGTCCCTCGTCATAAGGATGCCCAAGTAGCGGGTTAGGGTATCCGGTGTTTGCCAGGTCATGGCCGCCTCGTCTCCTTGAAGCACCAGGGGTTCCTCTTCGGAGAGCCACCAGCCTATTGTTTTCCCCCAGTTAATCCTCATTTCTGAGGCCAGTCTGAATGCCTCCATCGCCTTTGCTAGAGTTCTGAATGAGGAATCTGAGGCCCTGATAAGGACTGTCAAGTCGTCTGCGAACATAATTGCTGTCGGGAAATCCACCTGTTGGGCTGACCCTACCTCTGTACTGGCAAGCCTCTGGATTGAAGGATCCTTACGTAGGAAGGATGCAATGGCCTCCATGACAAATAGGAATATGGATGGGGCCAGGGGATCCCCTTGACGAACTGATCGTGAGATCGGATAACTTTCTGATAGCAGTCCGTTCACCTGGACGGAACCCACTGCGTCCCTATACATTATTATTATCCATTTTCTGAAGTTGGGTCCAACTCCCATTCTTTCCATACTGTTCTCCATGAAGTCCCAATTGACCTGATCATATGCTTTCTCAAAGTCGAAAAATAGAATGGCCGCATTTATTCTCCTTTCTCTGATTTTTCTGACTGATTCGTTCAGGGTCATGACGTTGTCTAGGATGTATCGTCCCGGAATGAAACCTGTCTGATCGATGTGAAAGCATTTGTTTGTGATCTTCACGATTCGGTTGGAAAGTGTCTTGGCCAATATCTTATACGGGAGTGTCAGTAAGGAAATGGGTCGGTAGTTTCTGATATCATCTTTATTTCCTTTTTTGTATAGGAGTGTCACCACACTGCTACTGAGCAAGTTTCCCAGTCCTCCCTTGGACCAGCAGTCGTTGTAAAAATTCAGCAGATCATGTCTGAGCAAGGGCCATAATTTTTCCCAGAATTCCTTCGTTAGCCCGTCGATGCCGGGAGATTTATTATTGTTCATACTTAGGAGAGCTTGGTGCAGTTCTTCGAGCGTAAGTCTTCCTTTTGTTCCGTGGATATCGTGCGTTCTAAGTATTGCAGCATTCGTTGTCGCGCCTCTATCACATTCCTGGATACTGGAGTCTCAGTTTTGGATTGGTACAAATTTCTTTAGAAGTCGTGTGCAATCTGTAGCATGCTTGCGCTGTCTGATCTTACCGTATCCGGAGTGGTTGGGGACTGTAGACCTTCAATTGTGCCGGATCTCGAGTTCGCCTTGATTCGGGCAAAGAAGTGTTTTGTCATGGAATCATTAAGGTCGTGATCGCACATTCTAGCTCTCACTTGCAGGCCTTTCAGTTCCCACCATTTCCACATCCCTAGCTCCTCTYGTGCTTTTTCAAAAAGTCCATTGTACAGTGGGGAGGAGGGGTTGGATTCTAGGTTGGCCTCTGCTGCTTTTAAGGCAAATTCYAATGTTTGTTTCCTCTGCTTCCTAATTGATGCCAATTTTCTCGATATCTTGGCTACCGAGTCCGAGAGAGACGAGTAGCTGTTTTGAAACCAGGTCCACCTGGGGATGGTGTTCAAGCGGATTAGTCTTTGGTTTTCCCAGCAGTCGCATACCTCTTCTTGAAAGGTTTTGCTCAATATCAGGGAATTGTTCAGCTTGTGAAAGCTTGTGCCTTTTTGGACTATTTGGTCAAAGCCAAGTACTAGCTCAATTGGTTTATGATCCAGGCCCGGGTAGGGGGCCAATGGGAGCACCTCAGCCTCCTTAACTGCGCCCATCAGAGTGTTAGACATTAAGAAAAAATCTATGCGTGAGAAGGCAGTGTGGTTCGCTTGATTTTTCTTAACCAGGGTGAAGGACTTCTTGGTTGGGTGCAGGGTTCTAAATGGGTCGACCAGGTTGAGGTCTGTCATCAAWTCMCGTATCGGTAGAGCTTCAGCGGGACTGGGAGGGGCGGCTGATCGAGAGATCCGGTCCATAGCAGGATCTAATGTCGCATTCCAGTCTCCTGCCATTAYGCAAGGCGTTAGTGGAGGGAGCAAATCCCTTATTTTTCTGCAAAATTCTCTCCTTTCAGCTGCTATATTTGGGGCATAGCCGTTGAAAATGATGAACTCTTCCTCTTTCCATTTCAGTTGTACCCAGCACCATCTCCCTTCGTCTAGATCTGCCTTCTTGTCCAATATCGAGCCCATAGTAGTTAATCGAGAGGATTTCGGGATCAAAATGGCTGTGCCTTTGGAGCTTGAGGCCGGATCTGCTGCCCAGGTTTCGTCAAATAGTCCTCCTAGTTTCCTGGCTATAGCCGCCCGGATACGGGAATGTTCCAACGAAAAAGTTAGATGTGTCTCCTGCAGTAGCACTACATCGGCTAACTTTCTGTTGTCTTTTGACAAACCTGCAACTATATCCCTCCATTTTTCCTCCCTCTCTAGTATGTGMCCTAACCCATTGACATTCCAACTTCTCAGGACCAGACCCTGGTCCCTCCAAGTGGAGCGGCCTTTTCCCATGTTCGCTTTCCTTATGTAGYTGTCCATGGTGACAGATGGGGTGGGMGAGGCAGCCTTAGGAGGATRTCCGTCATTTAGGTAAGGTTGTCCATCYTACCAGTGTCTTCGCCCAGTGTGTCCCCGAAGAGTTCCAGCTCGCTGGTTGTGGGGACAGSGGGGGAATCCTTCCCCGTCGGGTCTACTCCCTCTCCTCCCTTCGGGTCTTCTTGGTTCCCTGACCCTTCTAACAGCTGATTGTGCAGCAGATCTAAGTCATCTTTTTCATCTTCCGCCTTCCATGACCCAGCATCCGACTTCTCACTCCCGTAGAACCTTTCACCGTCGACCGCGTAAGTCCTACTTTCCAGGTCGTCATCGCCGTCCAATAGCTTCGCAGTCACCAGTTTGGACAGAGCTGTGGCCAGCAGTTCTGCTGACATCCCGGCGCCTGCCAGAATGCTGTAAGGAACCTCCATGACCGTCCTCCATGGTTTCCAAAGCATACCTGGTAGTAGAGGTGAAGATTCTGGCAATTTGACTATGAAGGGAGAGAAGGCTCTCGGATGATATCGAATCTGATCATTGGTACTCCGCGTTGTATCCTGCTGCCCTTGCTGTGAGTTAGAGACTGCCATTTCTTCATCCGGATCTGCTGTCTCAAAAAATCCTAGAGGCACCTCGAGCGACACTTTGCTTTTGAGTGTCCTGACCACGTTCTCCCCTCCTACAAAGTGGGGAACTTTGAAGGCTACGTCGGTTGCGATCTGCCACTCCGCCGCCTCCCTCGCATATCTGGCCACGACCAGGGGCCGAATGTCCCTTAGGGTCCTGCGAGCTGACTTGGCGGATTCGACCACCACTGGGGCCTCCCCACGCGTAATCTGTGCGATGGAGGTGAAGTCCGGGGTGTATTCTTTGTTCCACTTCTTAAGTTTATCAGTCTGTGAGAGCACTACTGCCACTTCTTTCTCTAATAGGGCCCGCTCAGACTTCTCTTCAACTTCCATTCGGTCACTGTTGAGGTCCTTTTTCTTCTGGCTCTTACCAGTTTTCCTTGCCTTGGGTCGAAGGTCTTGGAAGTTGTCCCTGATTGTGGGGATGGTTTTGTCCTGATCAACCGTTCCCTGATCTCTCGCTCTTTTCTTCTCCGCGTACCTGAAGGCTGCAAATTCTGAGAACTCTTCGTCTTTTTCCTTCTTCAGCATCTCAAACTGGTTTTCAGACTTGCTGATTCCACCGACTGAGCTTTTCTTGCCGTTGATCTGGGATCTATCAACATGTTTTAGGCAGGCTACCCGGACGTCAAACGCGTGTTATCTTTCCCGCTTTGCTTTTTCCACATAGTCACGGAGCCAGGCAAGAGACTGTTGGGATCTCTCCTCGTCGGAGTTCGACTCCGACTCCGGTGTACTGGTTCCTTCGTCCGCTTCGTCTCCCACCTCCTCCCCCTTTGAGTCTAGATCCATCCCTTCGGCTTTTCCTTTGCTGCCATCTGCAGCCTTTCCTCTCCCTGTGTCTGAGTCACTGGCCGTGATATCCGCTTTTCTTCTTTTGGCGCCTGTTCCTTGCTCTCGTTGTTCCGTTTCCTCCTGCATGGTGCGTTTGTTCTCAATCTGGTTTTTATCCTTCCTTTTGTGAGTCTGCAGTTCCGATTGTTCGACTTGATTAAGAGTTCTTCGAAATTCATCAGGATTTTTTGAGAATTCTTCTTCGATCTGTTCTCTGATTGTCTCCAAGTCCCACAACAAGTCCTCCCTTACCTTCTCTTCCCTGATCACCCTCGAGTCTGTGATCGGATTTGTATTGATTTTGGAAGGGTTGCTGCGCACTTTGTCAGTTGCCTTCTTCTGCCATCTGCTGTCGGCGGTTGGAAAGATATCGGGTTTATTAATGCCTGGATTCTGGTCACCGAAATGCCAGACCCAGTCAGGCTCCTCCAAATTGTCATCAAAAACCCACCCGTCGTACGCGGGGTCCGCCACGTACCATATTCCGGGAGCTTCTTCAACTTCCACCAACATATTTGGTAGGAGTTTCCGCTCCTTCGCTTACTTCGGGTACTTGGGGCACTTCTGGTCTGTTCCCAGGTGACCCCTTTCCCTGCAACGGAAGCAGATGGGAGATGCACGCGTCGAGATTCTGATCTCCACTATCCTTTCCTCTATCTGGAATTTCCACACTAGCGGGAACACCGGCGGTTCGTCTGTCTGCACGTCCAGAATGGCTGTCATTGAACCGCAGTGCGGAGCCAGGACTTCGGGTGTCGGCCGGATCCATTTGAGGATTTTATTTGCTTTGTATTGTCTCTCTAGTCTGTCGACCAATAGCCCGTGGAAGCCTGGTTGGACGTTATCGAACTGAACCCAAAAAATTTCCTTCAGCAGTTTTTGTTTGTATGAGACTGCAAACATCGGGTTATGTCTCTGTGCAGCACGCTTTTTCCAGCGGGTTATCATGCACACTGACCCATTGCAGTTTCTGGATTGCATTTCTGCAGCGATCCTGGCCTGCTCTTCGAGGATGAAGAGGACCAGGATGCTGTTGCGGCCCAGAATCTGCAGAGAAAAGGAATCGCCGATGTTTTTGAGTTTTGGTTCCTTTCTTATTGTTTCTATGACCCATTTCCTTTTCTCTGGAGGTTGGAGGTCGGCTCCATGGSGGGCGAAGTTGWAGACCAYACCATGTTTTTCGTGCATATCGTCCAGTTCTGCGACMTTTTCCTCTGGGTATTTCCATATAACCACTTCTTCTTCTTTTCCGTCTACTGTCTGTTTTACTGACGACTCAATCCCTTGAACTTTCGTTTTTTCTATCAGGAACTTGAGTGCCTCATTGTCGATGACAATGTTCGCCGTTTCCTCTTCGGTCAGCGACTCTGGATGCGAGCCCAGTGGTGCGTTGGCCATCTTTAACGACTCGTACACGTGCAGGCTTGCTCCTCAACCTGTATACCTCGCCAAAGTTATCTGGGGGAGAATTAAGATCTATGAGTGAGTGAGTGGGGGAATGAACTTGAAGGATTCGAGGGGCTGGCAGACTTGGGCAAGGTGTATTGGGATCAAAATGGGAATTGTGAGTGGTCGCTGTTGTAGGGAGTTGAAGAGATACGTTGTCGTGGGGAGGATTTTGGCAGCATTTCGCCWCCCCCCTTGGGGATCAGCGGTGAGAGGCAGCAGCTAAAGACGGTAGAATTCGGGCTGGGATAGATCTAAAAAGAATTTYGGCAGCGCCGTCMGTAGGATCTATGACTTGTCTTTCCCCGGAAGTAAGCAGATCTAAAATAATTTTAGCAGCATTTCGCCTCCCCCCTTGGGGATCGGCGTTTCTATCAATAATAAAGGTTAAACAGAGGAAAGTGGTATAACTTGGACGACTTTCCTATTCCCCGTATGGCACGTGTGCTGTCGAAGAAC